CGGAAGAAGGGGGGCGCCGGCGGGGAGGCGCTGAGCGAGACCCGGCGCGCACCCAGCAGCCTGGGGCCGGGAGCTCCCGGCGGCCGGTCCGGGAGTCCGGGCACTGGCTGTAGAGCGAGGCGGTTACGGGTGTGGCTTCTGGAGTCAGGCTGACCGGAGTTCGAATCCCTCCTCTGTTAGGTCCTCCCCGTGAGTCTCGTAAATCTCTTAGCCTCAGATCCTCATTTTTAGCTTGGGGGCAATGATAGCTCGTATCAATTAGAGTTGTGCGATGGTTCTGGCCTTGGGCAGTAAAGGGCCCCACTCTCTCCAGTTGTGCGGGACAAGGTGTACCCCAACATCCGCGCCGTTGGAAACTGACCTCTAATAAAACCCGGTGCCTCCTTTCTCCTCAGCCCCTCGACTCAAAGCCCCTCCCCTTGTCCACCCTTCAGACTTCCTGGTGAGGAGATTTCTTTTCCCTTACAAGGTTGACCTGGACTGTACTTAAAGCTGATTTCACTAGGGTAAACGAAGAGGGCGGGGAGGATGTGGGGAGGTTCCTACTGGAACCCTTCACCTAGGATTTCTTTCTCCTCACTTTCAGCTTGACTTCAAGCTAGTCACTTTCTTGTCACCAACCTGCCCTAAGCTGCTGAGATTGGAGAGTCAAGTCACCGTGGGCTTCCTCCCTCTTTCCACCCTAGCTGTGGTCCCTGGGGATTTCCTGGCAATTTGATTAACCGACTTGATTCTGCCAGCCTCTCCCTGGAGTTCTGCCCATCTGTGAGGCCTGAGGGCTCTTGCTGAGGACTTGAGTACTCAGACTGGATTGTAATAAACACACTGGACAGGGTGCAGGGGCCGAGGGTTTCAGTTATTCAGCCTCGCGTGAGAACTCCTGATTGGTCCTACCTGTCACCACTATCCACAACAGTGATGATGAGAACAGGCTTGGACAATATAGGGTAATGAACTTGTACAATGGATAGAAACTTTGCAAGTTCCCAAGCACTTAAATATCCATCATCTCATCCCATCCAGAACAGGCCTTTGAAGTGGTGGTCCAAGCTACATTTTACAGATGCGGAAACTGAGGCCCGGAACAAGGCAGTCACTCCTCCAAGGTTACTAACGTTCAGAGGCTGGACCATGGGAGTCATTGACTAGGCCAGAAAAAAACACTTCTTTGCTTCAGTGGTTGGAGGGAGGAAGTGATGCTAATGGAAGTGAGAATTTAATAAAAACCTTAAAAAAAAAAAGTACCATTGAAGTTGAATTTGAGTGGTAGAAAGGGTGAAGGCTGGGCCAGGATGGCAGGCCTGGTGCTTGTTTTGAAATGCATTCTGCTCTGGAAGGAGCACCTTCCCTGAACCCTCCTGAGGCCATTAGCATGCTCATCTCTTTGCCTGGAGGGAGATGAGTCTTGCCCTTTCTCCCTCCAATTTTGAGTAGACTATGGCTTTTGTAGGCTTCCCCATCCCTCTAGCCAGCAAAGAAATTTTGCCTCTGAGCAAGATTGTTACTGAACTGGGCAAAAACAACACCAGTTCAACAACCTCTCTCTTACCTTCTGAATACCTGCCCTGTAGCTTTTCAGAAGCTAGTCTCAATCCCATGGTGGGTGGTGGTCACAACTTCATACCAGTCAACTCCATTCTTTAACTTCGTATTTGGACCGATGAAGTGTAAGACTAATTCCTAATTGTGTGAAGAAGGATTTACAAGAGCTGCCTAGAAGAGATAGCTGAGTTTCCTTTCGGCAGATGGAACTGGGGCAAAGCTCTTAGGGGAAATGGTGGGGGCGCTGCTGCTTGGAAGAACTCCAATTGTTACCTGGAGAAATGGTGTTGGCGAAGCAGGGCCCTGGCTATATCTCCTTGGGCAAGTCAGCGTCTTCATTCCTAAAACTCTCTCCTGCTCTCACGAGAGATGCTTACAGCTTCAGGAGCTGTGAACTGCTGAACCTCTTGTGGCCGAGGAAGTGGGTGTTCATTCGTTCAACAAATATTTATTCAAGGCCTTCGTTGTATAGGAACTTTCTTCTAGGAAGTAGGACATAGAGAACAAGTCAAAGCCATGGTGCTTATGTTCCTGTGGTGGAGGAGGGGAAATATTAAAAAAAAAATACACACACAAAAAAACCAGACTGATAAAATACAGTCAGAGAGTGAAAGGTGCAAGGGAGAAAAATAAAGTAAGGGAATGGAGTATGGCGATGGTCAGGTGACATCTGAATGGAGTCAGGGAGTGAGACATATGTGTGGGAGAAGACTGCTGGAGACAGAATAAACAACAGGTGCAAAGGCACTGAGGTCAGGACAAGTTTGGTGTATTTATCGAAACAGAAAGAAGGCCAATGTGGAGAATGGTAGGAAGTGACATAGGAGAGATAGGCAGAGTCCCATCAGGTAGGGCCTTGTTGGCTACCATCTCACTGTGGGTGAATTGGAAAGCCATTGTGAGGATTTTGAGTGGGGATGTGACCTGATCTGATTTCCTTACAGAAGGTGACAGTGGCTAACTAGGGTGGGAGGGTTTCAAGAATGGAAGCCCAGTTAGGAGGCGGTAACAGCAGTTCCTGTAAGAAAGGATGGTGATGTGGGTGGAACAGCAGAAGTAGAGGTGAGCAGAAGTGGCCAGAGGAGAGAGAGAGGAAGACTTTAGAGATGCTACTGATAGGACTCACTGATAGGTTAGGTGTGGGGTTGGAGAGTAACTCCTGGGTTTGTGGTTTGGGTAATGAGACTGATGATTGACGGCGCTGTTTAATGAATGGGGATGTTTTGGGGAAGAGCATTTTGAGAAACCATGCACGTTCTCCTCAGGTGCAGGTGTGGAGAGTCAGGGAGCTGGGTATGAAAGAAGGGTTGAGAGTGTATGTAAGAAAGTGATCTTAATGATGGACCACAGCATTTCAGGGTAAAGAGGGAGGCAAGGCCACAAAAGGGGATGATGGACAGTGAAAAGTAGTAAAACTGGTGTATTGGTGACTCCAACTAAGCTGAAGAACTGTTGGAATGGAGATTCTAGAGTTTGTGCTCTAGAAGGATGGGAAGTGGTGGGCAGGGTGTGGGATCCTTGAAATGAAGATTTTGGCTGTGGTATAGTTTTTGATAATGATGAGGTCTGAGATGTGACCATGGGAGTGGGTGGCTGAGGTGGGGTAAAAAGAAAAAAAAAAACACTAGAATGGAGTGAATGGATCAACATGGATCAAGATGCCATGGGTGTCATTTGTGTTACAGAACAAGATTGTGGACCAGTGTGAGAGGCTGCAAATACAGAGTGCTACCATCACCAAGTATATGGCTGATGTCCTGCCAGGGAAGAACCAGAGAGCAGTGGTAGGTAATTCTTCCCCTTTCCCCTCTCCTTTGGGCCCCCTCCTAGGATAGGACCTCAACTTTAGGGGCTTGGACCAGTCTAGGGTCCCTTCCCAACTTCACAGACTCATTGTGCTACTAACACAGCTGGATGCCCAGAAAGGATGGTTCCGCTCTCCCTGAGCCTTGGTTTTACAATCTGGGCAGAGAGGATTATTCCCAGCAGACACTTGGTGCAAGGCTCTGATAGAAGACTTTTTGCAGGCAAAGGATCAGGAGGGGTAGCATTTTTCTACCATCTAATTATTTTGTGCTCAACTCCAGTATGATAAAATGAGCTATGGACTCTTTATGACAATCTTATGCAGTAGGTGGCAGTAACATCCTTGTTTACTGATGGGGAAGTGGGTCCCCTAGAGGTTAATTGACTTGTCCAAGGTCTCACAGACTCCTACCAGAGTCAGTTCTATGGCCTGGATCTCCTGACTCCCAGGAGGTGCTCCTTCTGCTACACCTCACTGCTGATCCTTTATTCAGTTGACCCATTG